AACACTTGTCGTTTTGGCAAGGCACTTATTTTTGATTAACCTTTTATGGCCTAATGTTGTCTTAGGGCAAGCCGAACATTTGCAATTTGGTTAAAATTGGCTCCAGCGTTGCCAATACACGAGCAGAACTAGAGCAGGAACTATGCTGCGCCCGACCAAAACTAAGGGGATTTCCTGCTAACCTTAAACAAAGCTGCTAAAGTTGGCAGTGCTCTGAAGCAACTTTGGGCAAAAATGGGTTAATTATAAAAGGTTTTGTTTTTTTCTTGTTGTTGCTTCTTGTTTGTTATATGTAGGGTGGTTTTCTTTATCTCGTTTCCTATTTATGCGGCATATTTTATGGAAAATCTTTACTTAAAGAAGGAGTGCGTGCATTTCTAGGCTCTTCCCGTCCACCTCATCAAGCAATTTTTTTTTCTGGAGCAGCCTTTTTGCTACTCTTGAAACGTTGGCACGATAAGGAAAATATTTTTCAGAAACCTGCATCACACCAGTCCGCATCTCACGATTTCTGAATAATTATCGACTAACCGCCACTAATCACCACACATTACTCTTTATATTGCAATGAGCCTTTTAACTAAGTGATGAAATTGACATCCTCCCCAGTTCCAGTACGCCTAGTATTGGTTCTGGTCACAGGGGTGGGTGGGCTGCCCCTTTTATAAATTGGTCAAAACCAATATAAATTGGTCAGCCAGTTCATTTCCTTCTATTTCTTCATGTCCGGGAACCCACTTTAAGGTAATATTGTTTTGGTTTCCCAGAGTCATTAGGCAATTTAGGCACTCCCATACGTTTGAAGTTTTGCCTTTATGTCCGCCTGGCAGTATGAGAGTATGTAATTCTGTGCACCTTTCATATTTTTCTTTATTAACTCCTGTGCACAGAGTTGTATTGCATGGATCGCGTCTTGGAAAATTGGATTAGTCGAAGAGGCTTTGCCAGGGTACAGCTAGGCCTTTTTACCCTTACACCTACTTCCTGTTCCATCTTCGATCCATCTGGGTACCATATTAGGGTTCCTTCCTGAAACCTGAGGCTACGTTTCTTCCAGAGGTCTATTGCATATTATCTGCATTCACTTAGAAGGGTCTGTCAAAGTTGATTTTTTTCTCTCATTTTTTCAGGTACCGTTGTAGCTATCTCGTTTATTAAATCCATTATATTTAGTGGTCTGATTGACCAAATTACTTCTTTCAATTAATTAATCTTTTTATGTAAGGAAATGAAATAGTTAGTGTCACGAACGGGATTCGAACCCACGACCTTCGGCTCAATACGCCGCTGCTCTAACCACTTGAGCTATCGCGACTTCGATCCACTCGGACACCAACTCCACTTCTCAACCTAAAACCTTGGATATCAATTGCATCTGCAGGGAATTGTCATTATTTTGATTGCAAAGGCCTATCATATGTTGTCTGTTGTAGTACATCATTACCATTCATTCAGTAATTCGTAATATAATATGTAATTCGTAATATGTGCTGTTTTTATACCAATTGGCATTATATTTGCTGTTTTTATACCAATTGGCATTATATTTGCAATAGCGCAAGCCGCTTTGTAAGTTGATATCCTTCAATTATCCTTAAAGACATGATTCGCTTAACTCGATGCAGTTTTGACAAGAAACTTTTCACTGGCTATATAATCTTCGGAATTATTCCACTATAAAAATTGTAAATTCAATGATTTACAATGTTTATCGATTTTTTTATATTGTTTAAAATTTCGATTCCCTCACTGAAGATGGCGCAAAGCCGAAACTCTTTTGAGTAGTTCAACAAACCCGCGAGAAAAGACGGATCCAATAAGTGATCCAATGCCGGTTCAGCATAAAAAAAATTCTGCTTAGATATTCGATATATTAAAAAAATAAGACTATAATAAATTAAGTATATAATCCAATGTTGTATTGCAGACGTTGTCCAAAAATTTAAAAAAAAAATTAAATGAAAGATTATCAATTTTGTTACAAATCGAGGCATGCTATTAAAAACGAGTTATTTATATGTATATCCACCTTCAAGGAAAATACGAACACCCAAATGAAATTTCATTAATGGTTTCGCTTTGCATTTAGGCCTCCCGCCTCAGAGCAATAATCACGTCAAGGTTTTATAGGACACTAAAAGAAGGCCAATATGCTGGTCCAAAGGTCAATAAATAATATCACTGAATCGGCAAATATTAATTTAATGCTAATAATTTGGCAAAATTCCTGGAGGATTATCACGTTGAGAAAGGCTGAGGACGATGAGGAAAATCGCACGTTTTCTCCACAATCGAATCCAGTTTGGATGATGAATGGATACGAATTACAATAAATAATTTCCAAAAACGACATTAGTAATTTAAATTGTCATTTTGATTCGATTCGACCTACCTTTAGAGTTTTTCTCTGTGATAGTTCAAGAAGGAATTAAGCCTTCTTGGCAGCTGACAACGTACAAAAGACATATTTTCTAATACTTACCTTGAATGCCAAGTGTGGTTCCAACCTTGCTATATCATTCTGTCTAATCTCGGTTTCTACTGTTTTCTCAAAGAACCACCTTTTTTTATTCATTGTACTGACTTACAATGTCTTCCAAGATCAGATTTCAGTATAATTTGCCTGGTTGTCATGCGCGATTTATGCTTGCTTTTATTCTGGTTAATATAAACTAAAACTGAGTTTTACTATGTTGAACCGGCACACGGGCACTACTGGGTCTGTCTTCACTCGCGGGTTTTTTTGTTTGAGTTGTTCAAACGCGTTTCGGCATTACGCCATCTTCAATGAAAAACCGTGTGCCGGTTCAACATGAGTTCGCAAACTCGCAGACCAAACCCCATCATCTACTACGAGTTATACTAGTTTACCTTATTATATTTGCGTTTTGCTCAAAAATACACTTTTTGCCATTTTTCCACTCTAAAATAAATTTGGCATAATTCTTTAAACTTATTTATTTAATCACCTCAAACAAACATTGTTGTAATATATTTCCTGTAAATTTCGTGTTTAATATAAATAATTTTATAAATATTTTATTAACAACAACGAAAGTTGCACGTATATTGTGCTCGCACACAGCTAAAGCGCACGCAAGTTGAAGTCGGTTCCTAATGTTTATGTTAACACTATGTTTATGATAACATTAATATCCTTAATGGTCGATGTGTCTTGATTTGAACTCTGAGGTTTAGTGCTTCTTCTAATCAAGCGGCTTTCACGATGATCAGTAAAACAATCCGGTACAGACTTGATCAAATAACTTGGTGGCATCTTCAGCCAGCGAAGTTTGCTCCTGCAGTTGAAAGTTCCTTTATCATATCCTTCAGTCCTTCGTGAGGTTTAGTATTTAGTATAACAAAGAGTTTATTCCATGGCTTATTCCATGGCTAGTACTATTTGAAAAAAAAATATAGCGGGTACAGACTTGAGCAAATCAATTTTCCGTTTCAGGAATTTCTTGGCTTATTCAGCCAATGGCGTTTGTTTCTGAAGTTCAAGCTTTCTTTATGGTGTCCTCGATGGTCGTTATATCGAGATCCTATCGGAAGCTTAGAGTGTCTTCTAAACGAAACAACTTTCACGATTAATATAATCAAGAAAATCAGTTGGGTTGGTAAAATTCGAAACGTTCAGGTTATCATGAACTAAGTGGGTGGGTTTGTAAAGCTAGTACTCTCAGCAAAAAGAAGCTGGTGCAGACTTAATAAAAACAATGCGTTCCACGAACTTACTCGCATTTCCATCGAAATGGGTTCAGACTTGATCAAATCAATACGTTCCACAAACTTCCTGGCTTTTCTATTCAGTGGAGTTTGCAGGTGAAGTTCAAATTTCTTTATTAAGTCCTCGTTATGTTCAGTTCTTCAAGAAGTTCAATATTTCGTACAAACCGAAGTACTTAAACGACTAACATTAACAGCCAAAAGAACCTGGTTCTGACTTGATCAAATGAAAACATTTCTCTAAAACGTCGTGTTGCTTTCAGCCAATGTAAGTTTGCAGGCGAAGTTCAAATTTTCTTTATTAAGTCCTCGATACGTTCAGTTTTTCAAAAAATTCAGTTTTTCATATAAACCAAAGGGCTTAAACGACTGGTATTAACAGCTAAAAGAAACTGGTTCAGACTTATCAAATGAAAACATTTCTCTAACTTCGTGTTGCTTTCAGCCAATGTAAGTTTGCAGGTAAAGTTCAAATTTCCTTTATTAAGTCCTCGATATGTTCAGTTCTTCAAGTTCAGTATTTCCAAACCAAAGGGCTTAAACGACTAATATTATTAGCTAAAAACCTAGTGCAGATTTGCGTAAATCAATGAAGTCCATTTACTCGTGGCAGTTTCAGCTTGTGACAGTTTGTTCCTTGTGTTCAAATTTCCTTTAGATGTCCTAGATAGCTTAGGCCAGTTTTTTGTGAAAACTATTTCTTATAAACCAAAGAGCTTAAACGACTAATACTATCAGCAAGAAGAAACGGAGGATAAATCAATAAACTTCCTAAATACAATAAACTAAAAACAGAGTTTTCTCCTGATGTTTGAATGTCCTTTAGGATGAGTCTGATGGTCGATGCGTCTAGTTCTCTATAACGTTGAACATCTGGCACAGTGAGCTTGTAGGATCAATTTTAAAGACCAGGAGTCTTGATGTTTTAAGATTGTTGTCCATCCTCGACCTCATCCATTTGCAAAATCGTACCGGATACGGACTTAATTTGAGCTAATCACTTAACACAAACAGTTTTAGCTCAGTCATAATGGTTTGTTCTTTTCCGCTCGTTTTGATTTGCCTATCCTGTCTGAAGCGTTCCGGCTCTCTCTCTACATCTTCAGTCGCAACAGCAAAGAATGGACGAACAACGCGAGAAAATTGCTATATCTGAGTAAAATCCATTTGATGAGTACTTACTAACTGATTTTTGCCTTTGCTCATTCAATAATAAAATACTCATTATTTGTACTCTTAAAATTAAAGTTGTGTTTTTGTTTGTTTTGCAGGCCGTTTAGCAGTTGTAACACTAGGCCTGTGCGCGGTCGCTTTGGGCATACTGATGTCGACTATACCTTGGGTGGACTACTTAATTCTCAAGGTAAGCATCAGACGAATTCAAAGCAACCATAAGCAACGCAAAGCAGAAAAAAAGTTAGTTACACAGAATCGCGGAAGAGTTACGTCGCCTTTGCGTAATTCATTAAAAGCAAAATGAAACCTACCCCTGACGAAAGCGGGGCACTGTCGAAGAATTCAGCTCGGCCGACCGTGAAGAAAAGCCCCGGTAACTTTATTCGGATCGTCGGCTACGAGTACAATGCAAACTTAAATAATCACTATTGTTTTGATTTAATTTTTTACACCTGGACACAGATTTGGTCGTCTGTGCTCTTTGAACTGTCCAACTGGGTCCGCTAGTATTCGCTGTACGATTCGGCCACATGCAAAATGACATTTTTCAGTTTGTATATTTACTGTATCAAGTTATCCTGATAAGCCTGTTTTCATTGGCTTTATCTCTAAGACTAAATGTTAAGCCCTCGAGCATAATGAAAATGGTTCCCAATCTTTTCTGGTTGGTCAGGCAGTTTTCCGACAATAAACAAAAAAGACATACCTGATAAGAAACGAACAGACCACCCACTGAAGATGACGATATTTCGAAACATTTCTGACGAAAAAAGCGAAAAAAAGACGACTAGGATAATCTGAAACAGCATGCTGAAAACATCAAATATATGGACGGGCCAATATCAGCAATTTGACTCTTACGTTCGCAGTGGCTAACGCTACTTTTAATCAGTAGGAACAATCTAAAAATGGTCAAATCATAACAGTGCTCTCGGTTATCGGGTTCGTGGTAATTGAGAGCATTGAATTAGCAGGTTGATAATCTACATCGCTGAAATCATGATAGGGTACTGTCTTCTAATGGATGAACAGATTCGAACTGCAGAATCTATGAGAAAGAAGGTCTGTCATATCGTGTATCTTTGTTAAACCAGAGATAGTATGAGACATGAAACGTTTTATAAAATTAAAACAAATTAAAATTTTTCAGTACTAATGGACTTTACGGACTTCATTAAAAGGGATGATTTAGTGAGAGGTACTCCTAACATAAGGTGTATAGAGGTACGATGGCTGGTGAGACAAGCTTCAACAAGAACAACCAAATTTTAAAAAAATCGATCCTATACTGTTTATGTGTGTCGAACGCAATACAGCACGTATCTTTCATCCCAAAATTTTATTGAGCAATGAACAGCAACAGTCGTACACTCAAAGAGTGTCAAGCACTGTGGTCCAGACCGTTCAAAGGAGCATTCTTTCGCAAAGGAGCCAAATCCAACGGCGTACAATCGCCGGCATGAACGACTTTCACCTTCAGGTTACGCTTTAAAAGCATTGGGCACAGATCTGGCAATTTGACGTCGTAACTGTTTCGGTGGCGTTCGTCTCTGTTGTCCGCCTGTGAAAAAATCATCGGCCACCCGGATTCAATACGTAAATAAACTCGGGTTCGATCCAAAAGATAAAAGTGTGAATAATCCGCACTCTTGGCAACTCTGTTAAGTAACGAAATCCTTCTATAAAAAGTATATATGAAATATAAATTAAAAATGAACGACGAAAGATGGTGATATTACAGAATTCTTTAGGGTTTTCTTGTCAGATCGTTTGATCATTGACCTGGTTTGTTTTTGATGGACAGAAAAAATTTATTATTCTGAAATGGCTTTTGCGTGAATGTCTAAGCAAATATTGTTAATAGTATTTTTATATGAAATTAGTAGTCAGCTTACGAGCCTGTAAAGATCACTTTTCCCAAACTGAGTTATTTTAAATAGCTCTCATTGACTTTATTTTAAAGATGTAAAATTATTATATTTTATTTTTCATATTATATACAAAATGTGGGGAATTTAAGGACCGACAAACAGCTGAGGTCATCATTCCTCTACGTATTTTTCTGGCTTTCACGCCTACTTTTTTCCAATCTACGGTCATTTAAGCGTCTCGATCTGGAACCTACTATCATTTGTGCCTCAGATTGTCAACTATAGAATAGACACTAGACATGTCATATGTTCAACATAAACCTGGACGTCTGGTCACATTCACCCCCCCCCCGTTAATACACGATATTCCTCGGGCGGGGTTACACACCCCTTCCTGTCCCGTTACACGATATACTTCAGGGGTGGGTCGAACACTAACCCCACAATACTCAATATTGCTCTTGGTGGACTTAAACAACCCCTTCCTTTTACGGTAATAAATTACATTCATTCCAATAAAATAACATAAAAACAACACACGGTACAAGCATAGACGTTAGGTCACATTCAATCTCCCAGAGTACCCGACATACTTCGGGGGTGGGTCGAACCCACTCCATTGTCACTAATAACTTCCTTATATCTCCACACGTCACACACTCACCCCAGAATACTCGATAGTGCTCGCAGTGGACTTAAACAGCCCCTTCCTTTTATGCTAATAAATTACATTCATTCCAATAAAATAACATAAACACAACACACGGTACAAACACAGACGTTAGGTCACATTCAACCCCCAGAGTACCCGATATACTTCAGGGGTGGGTCGAACCCACAACATTCTCACTAATAACTTGCTTATATTCTCCAAGCGTCATACCTCACCCCACTTAATTTTCCTTGTAGTGGGATTAAGCAACCTTCCTTTTACGCTAATAAATTACATTCATCCCAATAAATAAAAATAAACACAACAACCCATTCAAATAGAAGCTTGGTCACATTCACCTCTAGTGTACTCGATATTCCTCGTGGTCGGCTTAAGCATCCCCTTTCTTTTACGGTAATAAATTTTTATACAATCATGGACTCAGATCACATCCAACAGAGTACTCGATATTTTCATATATTTACGTTTTTATTCATTTCCAAAAACAGATGTTTGCTACTGCAAGCTGGAAGGCACCCTTGCATTTTTCAACTTTGCCCCTTGCGTATGAAAAAATCTCTGTAAAAATTAACACCTTGTATTTCCACTGCGTATTGCCAGGATTGAATTGGCTGAGAATCGTCTAAGCCCAATTCGTCCGAGTGTCAATAAAAATCTATGAAACCCGTCAACGCTTCCGAGTTGTATAACTGTTGAGATCACTCTGTCAACATATGCAATACCGAATATTTCATTTCTTGTTTTTTCCTCATCCGATTGGGAAAAGAGGCGTGTGTCCACAGCCGATCGGTGGAGCCCATTAACACGTTACATAATATTACAAAAGACGAAACTTCGCTTTAAAGCTGATCCGGGGAAAGGGACGACGAAGTGAAAATCAATTAACGCCTTTTTCAATATATGTTTCTTTCGGCATAGATTATAAACGGAAAAGGTGTAATTCCTAAAAAATGGAATGTTATAAAGCGCCCGTTCATAAAGCTCTTATGTATACTTTTCTCAAGACATGATAGTTTGGATTTATTGGATATTACAAAACATTATGGTCCACGCCCAGATTAAACTTCTGAGGTTAGTTTATAAAAATCAATGTGCGATTTGATAAGTGTGAAAGGCCCGCATCTAGGAAGAGCGTAAATTTCCCCTTTTGTCACATTTAATCTCTTTCACGATCAGGAATTAAAATTCCCAAGGACGTGATAGCGATTTATTGCCTATGTATGACCAATTAAGGATGAACATTGCTTAAATCGTTTTACAACCTCTATGCCCTTCTAGGAGGAGTGGCGAATTATCGAAGTTATCACTAATATTCGTTTGTGCTCATATTCTTCGCTCAAATCGTTCTCCTCTCTTTATTTACCGACAGACCTTCCATTGCCCAGAAAGAGTAGATAAGATATTATAGTCAACAACGCTAGCAAACAAATTTAAAAATCAGTCCGTGTGCACCTTATGGATCCCGGGACATAGTGGCATAATCGGGAATGAAAAAGCCGACCGCGCAGCTAAGAAAGCTATAACACAGGGATATAAAATAATTGAAGTACCTTATGAAGATTTTAATTCATTTATTAAACAATTTATATGGTCACAATGGGAAATTGAGTGGCAAAGAGTGAGGAATAACAAACTTCGGCAATTTTTTGTTTAATTTATTTGTTGCCTATACATACTTGTACATAATACAAATGTGATCACAATGTATATTGTTCACCGTTCGGTCAAAGCACTAACACTGATGCCAGCGCTGCACCCGGAGGACGCATGCCATAAAAAGCCAGCCAGTGCTGGCACTAATTTTAATAGATTAAAGCGCAAGGAGGTCTCGGAGCCATCGTCGTTTTAGGCGACGTGGTGGATTCTCGGGATGGGAATATGTGGAGAGGGCTCTAGCGGTAGGGTTAGGATGGATCGAAAGGTTTGTATGAAATTTTTGGAATCGGGAATGGATCAGTTCGTGGACAAAACGAACGTTGTGGCCTTCGAGGATAGTGAGGTTAGAGACGTAAACAGGAGCTTTGACGATTTGTCTGAGGACTGGATACGCTGGATATTGGATGGTTTGGCGGAACCCCACAGTTCCATACCGTATGTCCAAAGTGGTCGCAGTAAAGTCTTGTATAAGGCCAGTTTAGTGCTTGATGGTCAACCCGGAATTTGGTCCTAGTAGTTTGTGTAATTGTCCAAGGCTTTTGTTGAGTTGTTGTCTTTTAAGTCTTGTGTGGGGATTCCACGTCAGTCTGCTGTCAAGGTTTAGTCCTAGGTATTTGACTTGAGTGGAAGTCGGTATCTCTTCATTGATGATGTATAGTGGAGGGCAAGACTCCGTTTAATCTTCTCCTCCACTTTTTGCACCAACCTTCGATGAGCTCAAGGTGTTCTTGGATATTAGATATTATTAGCTTGGGTAGGATTCAAGTTAGAGGACAAAATTGCGGTATCGTCCGCGTAGGTGGCAATGATGGTATTGGGGGAAATTAAGTGTTCTGTCAAAGAGTGGGATACATCCTTACGAAAACCCAGGAAAGAAGAAACAATTTTGGCTAGAGTGAGGATAGGGCACTGTCGATTGACTCATGGTCACTTGATGTCCCGGGAGCCTGTCCAGGGTGTCCGGATTGCGGAGAAATAATCACAGTT